GTTCCTTAACAGCAACCCAGGGTTTAGGGTTTAGGATCCCACATAGGCTTCAAGGCATTTGGCCGAATAAAGGGGCAGTGGGCCCCTAGAGACCCTGAACTCCATTGCTCTGAATTCATCAAGTGGTAGGTTACACGTAAGGTTACGCAGGATGCAGTGCATGAGGAGATGTGCAAACCCTCAACTCTTGCACTGCAGAAGGAAGTTGTCACAAGATCCACTGGAGGTTATTGGCGAACGCGTGGAGTTCGAGGCCAGCGCGCTTGTGGCCAGCCTTCCTCTACATACGCCCTGGTGTAAATTTTAATATGGTAGCTTCCATTTTCTTTTCCATTATCCCTCTAGAATCCCTATGTACCATATATACACACATAGACCCCATGATGGTTTGGTAGTTTCCTTTTCCCATTAGTCCTCTAAAGCGTAAACCCTAAACCCCTATGTAATCCCTACATGACCTTACATATACCCTATCCAAGACTTTAAGTTTGTACCCTTGATGTTTGTAAGCCTAGGTGTTGGGTCCCAAATACGCTTATTAGGGGCCATATTCCATGGTTTAGGGACCCGAACCCAAGGGTACAACCCTAAACCCGAAGGCTAAGCCCTAAACCCCAATGAAACCCTAGTATTACATGGTTATTAAGGGCCATATTCCATGGTTTAGGACCCACACCCAAGGGTAAAACCGCCCAAAACCCTGATTAGACCCTAGTATTACATGGTGGTTTCTACCAAGCTGTCAGGCCAAGCACTGTAAGCCACTGCTGTGAGGGATTATAGTGTTTAGGGTTTAGGGCTTAGGGTTATAGTTGAAAAGAAATTGAAACTACTATTTAGGGTTTAGGGCTTAGGGTTTAGAGTTTAGGGTTGTAATGAAAAAGAAAACGGAAACTACTATTTAGGGTTTCAGGTTTAGGTTTATAATAGAAAAGAGAATGGAAACTACTATTTAGGGTTATACTGGAACAGTATCAAAATGGAAACTGCCATGTAGGGTTTCGGGGTTAGGTGTATAGTAGAAAAGAAAATGGATACTACTATTTAGGGTTTAGGAATTGGGTTTATGTTGGAGACAATGGAAATTACCATGCTGTAATAGGATGTATATACATATATGTGGTAGTACAGGGGTTCTGTGGAGATGATGGACAAGAAAATGGAAGCCAACATGGGTTATTTATGTATGGTGACATTGGGAGTCTATAGGGATAATGGAACAAGAAATGGCAACTACCACATAGTAGGGTATATCTAAGGTTATGTCGGGACGCAGATTTCCTTGACCGCAGCTGTTTGAAGTCCCAAAGTGACGGTGTGCCACGCCAGATTCCACTGCATCCGATGCCTGGGCTGTATGAGCAAGGGTACTTCCTGCAGGTAACCCCAAATAACCCCAATATACCCCCTTATACAGTAGCTTTCATTTTCTTTTCAAGCATCCTTACAAAACCCCATATTATCCCCACATAACCCTTTTTTACCAAATAGTCAAGCCCAGGATCATGCTCGCTCCCCGCGTGGTCTCACGACTGGCCCGTGCAAATCTTAGCAAGCATGTGCACATCGTGACTATCATTGGGTAGTATCCCCTAAACCCTAGGTACTGCAATCATCTTTCTTGTATGAGCCCCCCCCAAACCCTAAACCCTAAACCCCAAACCCTAAACCCTAAACCCCCGCCTAACATTAAATAGTCCCATTGTGGTATTGTTGATCTTAGGTGTCCGCGGTTTTGCGGCCGTGGGTGACAAGTTTCCCGGCATCGAGCTCGACATGGGCTTCCCACCTACCAAGGCCTCACAAAAGTCTGACGACTAGGGTTTAGGTTTTAGGGTTTAGGGCTTAGGGTTGAGGGGTTTTAAGGTTTTAGGATCATCTTAGTCATGCCCTAGGTGGAACCCCCACCCTGTAATAGTGGCTATAAAGGATAAAAAGGGTTATAAGGACTATATTAGGGTCCTTTTATAATCTTATTATACCACTATTACCTGGTGAGGGTCCTCCTGACTCATGCTTTCCTAGGCCTGAGGAAATGGGTTATGGGTTTTGCTTCGATTACTTTGGCATGCTGGGAATGTTGGAATGGATCCCTTTTAGGGTTTATGGTCGACCTTTGTATGATGCACTGGAATAATACCCATAGCCCATTTCCTTAGGCCTAGGCAAGCATGAGTTAGGAGGACCCCTCACCCTGTAATAGGTGTAGAGCGGGACTATAATAGGATCCTAATATAATCCTTAGAATCCTTTTTATCCTTTGTTGTCAGTAGTACAGGGTGGGGGGTTTCCACCTAGGGCATGAGTAAGATCCCTAAACCCTAAGCCCTAAACCCTAATAACCTAAGCCGTGTAGGTTAACATGGCGGAGCGTCTCGCTGGAAAGAAGGCCCAGAGCTGCTATCTATGGTGTGTTTGGGGTTTAGCGCGGTTTAGGGTTTAGGGTTCAGGGGTTAGGGTTTAGGTATGAGGATTTATGGATTAGAGGTCCGCATTCAGGCATGTTCACCATAGGGTCCCTTTCCCATTATTTTCTTTTTAGAGTCCTTGTGTTGGATGCTTGCAGCAGCATCATGTCTCTCAGCTTACTGGTGGTTTGTAGGGAGGAAGGGTATATAGCGGTATAATTCAGGCAGGGTATGGGGTGTAGGGTTTAGGGTTAGTAGGGACTACGGGAATATAATCCCTATGGAATGTATTCCCGTATTTTCTGCTAACCCCCAGTAAGCCAGGCAGTGGTGGTGGGTGTGCCGGGGGCTTTCACCCCAACATGCTCCAGCAACCACGTTCCGGGATACTTGGCCAAGCAAGCCGAACTCAAGGCGAAGGGCGTGGAAGAGGTCATCGTCTGCAGTGTAACTTACTGGAGGTTAGCAGGACGTAAGGGTGTATGTGTATATATATATATATGTGATGATTATATAGGGGTTTCATGGAGGATTTTATAGGGTTTTCTATATCAGGACTATGTAGGGGTTACATTTGGGTTATTTTGGGATTTTATCGCCTTCTCTCCTACCAACCACCCCCAAGGTAAATGATGGAGCAGTGATGGAAGGCTGGGCCAAAGATCAAAAAGTTGAAGGCTCCATGATTACTTTCCTCGGAGATACGCGAATCTGGGTTGCTGTTATCCGAAAAAATTCCACCAGTTTCCATTTCGTTTTCCATTGGATTCTCTATTATAGCGGAAACCCTGAACCCTAAACCCCTAAGCCCTAAACCTATACTCCTAAACCCCTAAACCCTTAGCAACCCAGGAATGGAGCTGACAAAGGCCTTGGACCTTGTCTTCGATGCTCCCCCAGCCATGGCAGTACTTGGAAACCCTCGCTGCAAGCGCTTCGCCATGGTTGTGGATAATGGTGTGATCAAGGCCATCACCGTTGCGGGGGGTGATGTGCCGGACTCGGCCACCTTTGCAGAAGCCATGCTGGAGAAGTGCTAATATACTTTCACAGCGCTTAGGCAGAGGGTAGGATTTCTAGCTTGAAGGGCTGGTTGCACAAGCCAACTCCATCAGGACTTGTTTAGGCTCCCGGTTGCGTTGCAAGAGTGCAGCCAACTGTGTGTGCCGTTGACAGCAGTAGGATTTTGAAATGACATGCCTGAGTGGTACCTGAGTGGCTTTCATAGCCACGCCTGCTGTCTCGCTTAGTAACAAAAGTGCGCTGCATGACTGCAGCACATGTTGCTGGTTCCCTTGAGGCACCACCCTAAACCCTAAACCCTAAACCCTCGGATTCAGACATTGCTTTTATGACACGCCCCTGGCAAGTCCTGCAGGTCAAGATCATGAGCGATGGCAAATTGCGGGCGCAGGCTATCTCAAGGCTGTTCCTGGGTTGCTGTTAAGGAACTTAAATTGAGGGATTATCCCCCTACAATGGAGAATCAACTGGAAAAGAAAATGGAAAATGAAATGGAAACTAGGGTAATATAGGGATTTAAAGGACTTAAATTAAGTTACTATATTGGGGAAACCCTATTATTTACTATATATATACCCATTATGGTAACTTAATTTAAGTTCCTTAACAGCAGCCCAGGTTCTCGGAAGGGGACAGCGCACCCTCGAGAGGTCCAGGCCTTGGGAACCACAGCATGACCCCATGATTCAATTAGGGTTTAGGGTTTAGGGGATGTGAGCCCAAAAAGGGACCACTAACTTCTGGAAAGCCCTGTTTGTAGGGATCACAAATCCCATGGGGGCCCTTATTGAAGAATTCTGTGAGGTAATTTTGGGTAAGGATTATGATACTCCTGGATCTTTATTAGGCCCCCCCATCTACGCAAACCCCACGTAATGCTTCTATATTCCCTAAAGAACTCTCACATCATCCCTAAACCGAAAAACCCTAAACCCTTAACCCTTAACCCTAAACCCTAAAACCCTAAACCCTAAACCCCTAAACCCTAAACCCTACTTTTGTTTTGGGGTAGCAAAGTCACCAGGCGCGGAGCCCGCAGAACTGTTCGACGCTGAGCTTCCCACTGCGCAGATCTACATGAGTTTAGGGTTTAGGGTTCAAGGGGTTTAGGGTTTAGGGTTCTGGGTTCAGGGTTTAGGGTTTAGGGCTTAGGGTTTGGGGATCAGGGTCTAGGGATTAGGTTTAGGATTTAGGGATTAGGGTTTAGAGACTAGGGTTTAGGGCTGAGGCTTAGGGTTCAGGGATTAGGGTTTAGGGATTAGGGTTTTTTCGGGTATAGAGTAAAGGAAATTTTGCACCACCATAAGGCTGAGAGGGTGTGTATTAGGAATTCTATGAGATAAAGGGTTGAGGGCTCTGGGTTGCAGGTTTACGGTTTAGGGTTTAGGGTTGCAGGTTTAGGGTTTAGGGTTTGGGGGTTAGGGTTTAAGAATGGGGTTCAGGATTTCGGGTTTTGGGGTTCAGGGTTTAGGGTTGGAGGTTTAGGGGAGGGTCATCTTGCACTATGTGAAACTATGGGGCCCTTTAGGACCCTAGAGATGCGCAGGGATGATTAGGGGACTGTAGGGGTCTTATTATGGGTTATGTGAGGGCTCTTCTTCAATATGTTCTAGGGCATGCAGTACTTGGCAATAGGAATGTACAGGGATGTATGGGGATATAAGGACATGCAGGCATGGGTAGGCATACGTATGGACGTATGGAAACCCACATGCTAACCACGTACATGAAATCGTTGTTATACACAGTGATTCTGCTTCAGAATACCTACATATATACCTGCCTTACTGAGGGGGTTTCGCTTACCCCAACCACTAAAATTTGGACACTACAACTATCATCCGTAAACCCACCCTAAGCTGTGAATCCTGAATCCTAAGCCCTGAACCCAAGCCCCAGACCCAAATCTCTAAATCCTAAATCCCCTAAACCCTAAACCGCCTAAACCCTAGACCCGAAACTCTGAACCTAAACCCTTACGTAGCCCTAGCGGGCAGGAAGATCAAACGGGTCCTAAAGCAAGTGGCAATGACGGCCTGTGAGGAAGTCTGATCAAGGGCAACTGGATGCGGTCAGCTACTATAATGGGACTATACAGGGTTTAGGGCTATATTGGGGTAGTATTGGGATAGTGGAAAACAAAATGGAAATTATTATAATGGGGGACTTAGCACATAGATTGACAATTGGAGTGTGGAGTGACCCGTAGTCTGGCTGTTGCCAGGAGGATAAAAGGAGCGCTTAAAGAAACCCTAAACCCTAGACCCGAAAACCTAAACCCTAAACTCTGAACCTTAAAGCCTAAACTCTGAACCCTTCTCAACCCTAAAGCCTAAAACCTAGTTCTAAACTCTCAACCCTAAAGCCGAACACCTAAACCCTAAACTCTCAACCCTAAAACGAAAACCTAAACTCTTAACCCTAGAGCCGAAAACCTAAACCCTAAACTCTTAACCCTAAAGCCGAAGACCTTCTCTCAACCCTAAAACCCTAAACCCTAAACCCTCAACCCTAAACGCTAAACCCTAGACCCTAGACCCTAAAGCCTGAACCCTCAAGCCTAAACCCTAAACCCTAAACCCCTCAACCCTAAACCCTAAACCCCTAAACCCTAAACCCCTAATCCCTAACCAGGTCGGAGCTCGAGGACGATGTGGTCCAGGAGATGGCAGATCACCTGGCAGACTGTGGCAACGGTGCGCTCACGGTTTTAGGGTTTAGGGATTATGGTTTTAGGGATTAGGGTTTTAGG